AAGATGATTGAATTAGGTGAGGCAAAAATTAAGGTGGAGATGAAAGTTATTGCTGTGCTTTTACTTCTGGTTTTCTTATTCTGCACCTCTGTAGTGCAGTCTGGAAATGTGATTTTTGTGCATTATAAATACACTTCCCCAGTGCCATCCCCTTGAGGGTGGCAGGCAATAACCATGCATAGGTGGATATTATTTGTGCCACCGTCCGGTGATAAAGGAAAAGGCAAATGCATTCACTTGCATAGTTGACATGTCTGAAAAATAATGCCAGGAAAAAGAAGATATATTCTATATTTTGTTACTTTAAATATTAAATTGTTTGGTTTTCCTGTCATGCTGTGAACTAGATTAAAAAAAAAACCTACCAAAAATCCTAGTATTAATATTAATTATGGTAATTTGGGTTCAGGGAAATGCTGGCTGCCGTATTTGCAGCTAATCTGCTCTGTGCCCAAGCGTATCTAGAGGTGTACCCCAGTGGCCTTGGAAAAGAAAAAAAATAGAAGGGAAATGAGCAGGATACTCCTTTAACACTTAATGGAAGTGTTTCTTGCTCGTTTACAGGTGTGGCAAGTGACGCTAAATTAAGCACATTTTTTATTGTTGGTAAATTAAATTTTTCTGATGTGGTGGTTAATTCTGAATCAGAAAAGGGTAATAATAAAGCCTCCCTCAAGAAAAAGCTTTTGTTTTCAATTCTATGGATGCAGATGGTGAGCACCTGTCTTGTGCAATGAACAGGTTGTCACGGCAGTATGACAATCCACAAATCTGCATTTGGAATGTATAGGAGGACAGTCTGTTCATCTCGGCCGGACTCAGCAGTGGATAGCCTCTGCAGAAGTAGCTGGTGTATCGGATTTAATTCTGTTTGTTGGAAAAGCAATGCTTGGGTGGATGAAATCACAGAATCACAGAACCGATTCGGTTGGAAGAGACCTTCTGGGATCATTGAAAAATATCTCAGGCTGTGTTTCTGTGTGATGCGGGTGCAATAAATAGGGTATGAAATAGCTGTTTCTAATACTTAATATCTATTTGCTACCCTCTGTATATCAGTATTTCTGTGCCATAGGGAGCCAAGGTCTCTTTCAGAAAGACCTGAGCACAATCAGAAGCTGACACAGCCGCAGCTTTTGTATTCAGGGTACTTTGTGAGGCCAGTGCTGGGCAATTAAATGATATAGATAAGAGAATAACAGATGTAGCAAGCCTTTAATGCATGCTCAAAAATAGCAGAAAGACGTGTCTTTGAACAGGCAAAAAGATGGAGGTGATGATGGTATTAGATGGGGTGTACATCTGGGTGTAGAATTGTTGGAGATGATGTGCTACACATGAGTCAGGAACCCAATTCAGTGGGGAATGAAGCAAAAACTCAGATGTGGCTACATCCCTTAAACACCACTGAAAGACGTGGATGAAATGCCGAATAGATGCAGAGTAAACAAGTATAGACTGGAAATCATGTACTTGGATATATTTTGCTAATAATTCCAGTAAAATGAATAGCTAGGTGCAAGAGAAGGAAACAGATTACGCTGAAATAAATATGTGTTGTATTGAAGACAGTTGCCGTTCCCTAGCAAAGGCACTTGACAAAGGACCATTTTTTGGAGGATGGAATTTCTTCCTTCAAGCTGGTAAAATAGTATCTTTATGCATCATTAGTCACACTGTGCGCATGTTTTGCGGAGCGTATGAAATCTCTATACCATGGTACCAATTTAAAGCTGTTGAAAATCTGTTATATTTACAGCAAAGGCAACCTGAACTCTTCCCAATGGAACAAAGTTAACAGGCCAGTAGCTGTGAATCGTTGGAATTAAAGATCCCTTCCTTTAAATATCATTTAGACTACAAATTAGAGCCAACGGTAACCTAGCAATGTTTTGCTGTGGGAAAACAGCAAAAAAACCTGTCTCTGCACATATCTTGAACATGACGCGCCTGCTGTAGGTCCCTTCCAGCTGGAATTATTCTATTCTATAAGTCTTTATTCCTTTGGAATTAAGTTACTACCTCAACCCATCTTTTTGCATGAACTTTTAAGCTGCAACTGTGCAGATGGTAACTGAGGAAATGAGTCAATAAGCAACAGTTCAGAGAAGTTTTTTCCCCATGTCCTACATCAGTGGGTAGTTCTATAAGCATGAAATATATTTCTTTTACTGCCTTCTGTTGAAGTGGCGCAGATTAAACTGTCTTTAAAAATACTACTGTATTATCATGCAATCAGGTATGTTCCTGATGCAGTTTTTAGGTGATGGTGCCAAACCTGCTTTTAACCAGAATCCAGAGCAATAGCGGTATTTCCCTTATATGCAGCCTGCCTTTACAAGTCACAATTTCCTTGCAACTGTTGCAACTGTTACATAGTTTGTAAGAGTAATTGCACTATGTTCATTGTTGGCTCTAAAATAATTAATTTTAGTGCCATAGTTTCACGTTAGTAACATTTAATTATTTTTCAACCAAATAATGGTTTAAGTGAGGTGGTCTTGTACTGGTTTCTTACAGCCCAGATGGCAGTTAATCCATTAAAATTGCATTAATATTTGCTAATGACAAAACAAGGGAATTACAATATTGCACAGCAGCCTGTTTTTTGGATAATTGCGCATCCGTTAATCATTTGTACCTAGCAGGAGTGAAAAGATGGAGCCATTAGAGGCAAGAAGAGTTCAGAGCACAGGATGGAGTGACGGTAGAAATGGGTTTCTTAAAAAAAAAAAAAAAAAAAGGCAAATATTTGAAAGATAAAGCTTGTAGTGGACTATATTAAATATTATAAAAGCTGTTGAGAAAAAATGATCAGGAAGGAAGCCATTACTAAGATGACGCTTATTAGAAAAAATTGTAAGTATAAAGTGAACTACCTTTGTGCAAACTCTACTGTAGGATTTGTTTTCCTAACTCAGTTGCTCTTAACAGAAAATGTATTGTTTTCTACATAGAACTGACACTCTCAAATATCAACAGTGATGTTCAGAATTGGAATTTGAAACCAGCACTAAAAATCAGACAGGCAGAGGCTGCAGTTTGTAGAGCTACAGCTGAAACGTGAAAAATGTGAAGATATTCACAGTTATTAGGTTATAGGATAACACAGGTGGGAAGAATCCTGAGGGTCTGTAGTCCCATCTCCTGCTTTCCTGCTGAAAGCAGCGTCAGCTCTGGGATGGGGCCTTTGTCCAGGCACCTCATTCCAGAAGATAGGTCCCACAACCTTTCTGGTCAACCTGCTTCATGAAGGTTTTTTCCTCATCTCCAGCTTGAACGTTAATTACATTAATTTCTGCCCCTTGGCTTCTGATCTCCCATCACAAACCTTGATAAACTCCTTGAAGGTAGGAGAAGGTTCCTACTACAGTGTCCACCAAAGTCTTCTCTTCTCCAGGCTAATAAAGGCATGTCCTCTCATATTGTCTGTGCTCTAACCATTCAGAGGTTTTTGGAGAAGGTTTGGTTGATCGGTTTGTCTCTTTTTCATTTATTTTTTACAAAATACTTTGCAGAGACTTGGTAAGAATTGCGTACAACTAAAGATTAACCTCTAATAAGTGAATGCGTAGCATTGGTTAAAGGGTTTAGACTGAGTTTCACGCTCTCTGACTTGAAGTAATAATACTGTATAAGCAATGGGTTGATTTTCAATAAATTTTCCCCCCTCTGTGGAGCTTTAAATTTGATCTAACCAAACTAATTTTCAGACTCTGCATCTGGGATACTGTAATTCTGTATCCTAAAGATCTGAAGATCTGTTGCCATGTAAGGGAGCTCTAGGTCACGGAAATCATTAAAGTAAAACAAACCAAACCAAACCAAACAAAAAAAAAAAAAAAACAAAACACCACCAAACCCACAAATAAACATACCATAAGAATCTCCTGATTTATAGCAAATTGTGCCCTCTTAATCAAAGGCTTTCGTAGTCTCTTTTGCCGATAGCTGACTCAGCAGATTATGCTGTTGTCCCTGACTTTGTGCTAAACTGAGGACCATGTCTTATGTTGCGTTTCTTATTCTCAAAGGCAGCAGTTGATTATTTTTACACCACATTTACTCACCATATGAAGGAATTATCACATGAAACTAACTGTCATCAGCTGTGATTTTGAGCGTGCTAGAGCTTGTATGTGAAGTAAAACTACATGTGCCCATTTGCAGAAAGACCACTACCCTTCTTTTGGAGTAGGATTTGCCAGCTGGAGTTTGGAATTGGGTTGTACCAGGACACTCGCGTGAAACACATGGTTTCTTTACGTTGCAGACTGGGAGTTTTAGTTTTCATGGCTGCTTGAGTCACCACACTTAATGCTTAGCAATTTTCCAGCCAGCTGGAGGTAAAGTAAAAATGCAAATCTACCCTTGGTATAGCAGGCAAGCACGACAGGTACAATGGGAAATAACTTGGCATACACAAGATTTCACAGAGGTAATTTCATTGACCAAAACCATGTGCAATTATGACATTTATTTTTCTAAAGCTGCTACCTGTGCTGCGCAGAAAAAAAATATATACCTGCTTCTCTGATTGAACACAGCCTTGATTTTCAGAAATGTCTTTGAAGGTGGTACTTCTTATTTGCTGTAGAAGTTTTAGACCTCTGCCACCTCCTGGGAAAAAAAAAAAAAAACAAAACACTTGTCCTTAAAACATGCTTGTGAAGAGCTGCTAGTAGGTAGATAACCCTGTTAGCACATCCCAGAGTGGCACTAGTGATGACTGTGAGGCAACAGGCCAATGTAAAGTGTTGCTGTCAGGAGGAGAGCGGAGCCAAACTAGCACACAACTAGAAGCTCTTAGCCCTAAAAACATCCAAGTTAATAATAGCAGGTAATTTCATTATTGTCTCAGAAGGTGTTTCCAGTTTGTACAGGTGGACTTGTAATGAAAACTTCAATGTAAACCTATTTCTAATACCTAATTAAAATATATTTACATGGATTTCTTCTTTTTTTTTTTTTTCCCCCCCCCCCCTCCCTTTAGGTCTGTTCTTTTTCTTACGATGGAAAGGCTGGTTGTCTATCTACTGGTTATTAGCACAGCCGTGAAGGCCATGATGTGTCCCAAAAGATGCATGTGTCAAAACCTGTCTCCATCCTTCACAATTCTCTGTACGAAGACGGGGCTTCTCTTTGTGCCCCCCAGTATTGACAGGAGAACAGCAGAACTAAGGTTAATGGATAACTTTATTACTACACTTAGGAGAAAAGATTTTGCAAACATGACTAATCTAATTCATTTGACGCTATCGAGGAATACAATAAGTCAAATCATGCCTTATGCATTCTTTGATCTTAAAGGCCTTCACGCCTTACACTTGGATAGTAATAGACTGACTTACATCAATGAAGATCATTTCAAAGGTTTAATTAACCTTCGGCATTTAATACTCAGTAACAATCAGTTAAACTATATCTCTCCTGGGTCATTGGATGACTTTATTGAAACAATTGAAGACCTGGATCTGTCCTACAACAATCTCGTTAACGTTCCTTGGGAAACAATTGCCAAACTTTCTAATGTCAATACAGTCAGTTTGGATCATAATCTCATTGAGTTTGTGCCAGAGGGAATCTTCTCAAACCTTCACAAACTTGCCCGTCTAGACATGACCTCCAACAAGTTGAAAAAGATCCCTCCCGATCCTTTGTTTTCCAGAATACCGGTGTACGCCAAGTCTAAAGGATCTCCACTGTCGTCCCTGGTGCTTAGCTTTGGAGGGAATCCTTTGCACTGCAACTGCGAACTCGTGTGGTTGAGACGTCTCACCAGAGAAGATGATCTGGAAACCTGCGCCTCTCCACCAGAACTGATGGGCAAATACTTTTGGTCTATTAAAGAGGAGGAATTTGTCTGTGAACCCCCGATGATAACACACCGAACCCCAAAACTCACAGTGACAGAAGGCCAAAGCGTCTCTTTGAAGTGTAAAGCTGTTGGCGACCCAGATCCCTACGTTCGCTGGATCTCACCTGATGGGAAGCTGGTCTCTAACACGTCTAGGACGATTTCTTACGAGAATGGTACTCTGGATATTTTGGTTACTTCTTTGACTGACAAGGGCACATTTACCTGCATAGCATCAAATGCTGCGGGAGAGTCGACAGCTCCAGTCGAACTCCTCATTACCCCGTACCCTAACCTTGCTAACAGTACCAACTGCGATAAAGATGCGGAGCCTGGCCCCTCAGATATTCTCATATCTGCCAAGTCAAGCTTTCCAAATGAAACAAAGGCTCAGCAAGAGAAGGTGGTCGTGGTTGCTGAGCTGACGTCGTCCTCTGCTCTTATCCAGTGGCCTTCTCAGCATCAGCTCCCTGGGATTCGAATGTACCAGATTCAGTATAACAGTTCTGCTGACGACATACTAGTGTACAGGTAACCCTGCTCGCATACCCATCCTCATACCTCCGTGAAGTCAGTAGTGGAAGTAAGAAAAAAGGATAGCATAGTTTGACATAATCTGCGTAATGAGAGCTGTCTTGCAAGCAGTAACTGTAAATGAGGGGATGAGGAGACAATGGCTGCCTTAGACTTTGCTCGTTAAACTCCCATTGTTGAGGAGTTACACTATTAAAACTAATAATACATCTGCTTCTGTGCTGCCTCTTGAGGATCTCTAAACTCTTTACAGACATAATTAAGTTTCATAGTCCAGTTTAATGGACCAAGCGAAGCTGATGAGCAATATCTTAGTTGTTAACATTTAAGGAAATTGAGATGGAGAGTTTAGTTACCTTTTATACTGATTAAGTGTAATTATTTTACTTAAAAATATGAGGAAGAGAGAAAAAAAAATCAAGATGCCCAAAGCAACACTCTGCCTATATGGATATGGCCTCACCATGTTGTGCCAAAACTTCAGCCCGTATCAGTCGCTGCGTGCTTCCTTTTTCTCCAGTTTTGTGGTATCATGGGGATAAAACTGACTGGTATGAATTGGGCACCGCACAGAAAGTTTTAGGTTGTGTATTTTGTGTGTATTACACATTTAGCCGCTGGAGCTTATTTGGTAAAATTTACTTGGGAATAACTATTTGATATTAGCTGTCAGTGGACAGCGCACAGATTAAGTTTATAGCCGCTCCCCTGTGCAGTTCAGTTTCTGATTATCTGCCTTTCTGTTTATAGGCTTTCGTTTGTGATTAACTGGGGGTGGAAGGGATAGGGAGGGGTAGAATGACTTTAAAGTGGGAGATAGCATTTGATTGGGATTTAACGTTTCAGAGTTGTGCGCTTCGTAAGGATGATAACTTCTCTTCACTGAGCAATAATGATTTTTCTAATGCAAGGCCACTGGTTGCACTAAAGTTTGGAGTGGAGTAAGCGAAAGGAGGATTACATCTAATAGCTTCAGAAATAACATACCTGAAAGTTTGGGTTCAAATATACTGCTTTAGTAAGCACTGTCCCCTAAGGAAAGGAAAGTAGGATAGTTGTTCCGCTGCAGTCGCTATTTCAAATAACTAACATTGCAAGCAAATTCTTGTTAAAAAAAAAAAAAAAAAAGAAAGGAACTGTGCATGGAAATTGCATGAAGTCCTCGAAACAGACATTTCACTTTACAGTTACTTGGGATTTTCAGAAGTCTTATGTTAGAATGCCCATCCCCAGAGTCTCTTTGGGGAAGGATGCCATCCATCCTCCTGTTGTCACAGCTACGAGCTAGAAAGGCAGCAGGAGGACTCGGTGAGGGCAAGCAAGGGTCTCTTAACAGGGGGTGGGAGGATGCCTTGTTGGTATCTGACAGGGATGGTGAGGAGCTAGCTGGAAGACGAAGCCTCATTTAATTGTCAGCTGTGAGAACATTTGTGACATTGCTGTTTGAAAGAAGTGCAAAGTTGCGAAATGAAGGGAAATGCGAAGCAAGAGATGTCTCACTAGCTGGGATTGGGGTTTCTAAAGGGATTTTATTCAATTCTCCCACTAGAAAGTGAAGCGAAGCAAGCAAAGTGAGAAGCAGCGAGAGCCAGCGGGTGCATCGCAGGCACGGTCAGTAGTATAAGAGAGTTATTGAACAGCATTTTTCATCCTTTGCCATGACAGCTGGTCAGCGGACTTGGCAGCCTTCGTATAATTGCAGTAATTCATCCTCTATGAGTTTTAAACTTTCCAAAGTCTCTAAAAATAAACAACTGACGTGGTAGCTCGTTAATAAATCCATAGAGTTGAATACTACTGCTGCTGCTGAATGGCCTTGTTCCTAAGGAAAAGCTATGTGGAAGAAATGGGGAAGAATACTATGTTTGCATGCCCCTTTCTCGGCCCAGATTCCTGTTCACCAAGAGACTCAGGTTGATAACAAAACCATAAAATACTTGATGCTTCAAATCACAGAGCAGCTATTTCAAATAATACAATGTAATAGATTGTAGTACAATGGGCCTCTCAGAGATGAATATTGATGTGTTCTTGTTCAGTTCCCACAGTGAGTAATCATCAAATATGGATCCTTAAATGAAGTTTTGTGCTAAAGTGAGAGGAAGAGTAATTGGGCAGCAATTCTGCATTTGCAGTTATCTGAATAACTGCTACTTCAAGTTATGCTATAAATGCCGGAGTGTTTTAAGTTGAGTGCATTAATGTGTACTGGAGAAAGAAGAGTCCCCAGATTTGTTTGCTGACCCCTTTGCATGGTCAAGACCCCTCTCAGACTCCATGTTTCTGGTAAGGTATATAAACACCTGTTTCACGGAGTCAGTCTGTTGATATATGAAGATGTAAATAGATGTGTAGTAGCATACATACCCAGCAGTGGCAGTGCTTCAGTCCTGCCAAAGGAGTTTTACAGAAGGCGAAAATCTTCCTTCTACCTAAAGCACAGTGCATAATTTATTTCTGGCAGGCGATAGCTTGCTGCCTGGAAAAAGTATTAAGCGGTGCAGGATGCATCAGAAGCCTGTCGCTTCCGTCAAGTTGAGTGGTACCACAGGAAGAGCAGTTGCTATGGCAACTTTGCTTTATCTTGAGAATTTTAGTTGCTCCTTTGACTCCTTTATTTCTCCTCACCTTTCTATTTCCTTCTCCCTCTGGATAGGTAATTGTGGGTAGGTGTGCGTTCATCTGTGCCCGTGCTGGGAGCCTACGGAAGTAAAGGGAGGGAGATGATATTCTTCCTGATTTTTCCCTTTGGACTGCAATAAAATTATCCATCCATGTATGTAAGAATAATATACGTGCCCTGCACATGGTTACACCACCTGTGTACACTTGCACATACATAGAATCATAGAATCATTATGGTTGGAAGAGACCTCAAAGATCATCAAGTCCAACCGTATACCTGATGCCACTATGCCCGCTAAACCCACTAAACCATGTCTCGAAGCGCCACATCTAAACGTTTTTTGAACACCTCCAGGGATGGTGAGTCCACCACCTCCCTGGGGAGCCTGTTCCAATGCCTAACAACTCTAACAGGGAAGAAGTTCTTCCTAATATCCAACCTGAACCTCCCCTGGCGCAACTTGAGACCGTTTCCTCTTGTCCTATCGCTAATTACCGGGGAGAAGAGGCCGACCCCCACCTGGCTACACCCTCCTTTCAGGTCGTTGTAGAGAGCGATCAGGTCTCCCCTCAGCCTCCTTTTCTCCAGACTAAACAACCCCAGCTCCCTCAGCCGCTCCTCGTAAGGCTTTTTCTCCAGGCCCTTCACCAGCTTTGTTGCTCTTGCTCCAGCAGCTCAATGTCCTTCTTGTAGCGAGGGGCCCATGCAACACAATTGCTCCTTGTTGTTCCCATTTTGGGAGATTCACAACGCATAGCCACACAGCATTTTTCCCAGTGGTGAATATGGAAAGGAAAATAGGAGTTGTGCTTCCGACTCTGCTGGTTGCTGTGTTGTCTCAGGTGAGTCGCTTAACTCCTCTCTTTCTGTGAAACAGAGAATATCACACTGACCTATCTCCTGGGACAGGGGTTAGCAAAATTGAAGGCAGACATTAGTGATGGAGGAAGAAAATTGCATCAGAGTGAAGCATCTGGCAAGACGGGTAGCAAGAATACAGAATCAGTAAATTAAGGTGCAGGTAGCAATTTGCGGAAAGCATCAATATTTAAAGTAAGAGCCTTGTTTGTTTTCAGAAGAAAGGCCGGAAACTGTTGTTGTACAGCCATATATAGAGTGAATCAAGAATGGTAATAACCGCTTTGTGCAGCTTTTCCTTCTCTGAGATATAAATGGATCTGTATTCTTTAAACAGCTTCCAGTCTTGATGCCGATTACAGTTCCTGTGCCATTTGGACTTCACAATGCTATAATTTTAGCTTAACTGTTGTTGCTCAAGTGTCCCGCCCAGGTTTCTAGTGCTAGTCTTGAGGAAGAGATATCAGCAGAACTGACCTTTCAATACTAAAATAGTCGTGATGAGTATTATACAAGCTTTAGAAAGCAATAATTAATCTGGGAGAGAAGCCATGGTATTTTATTGCTGCTTTGTCACGATGCGCACACATGTTTTGTGTGTACGTATAGACGAAAATGCACCTCTTTTGTATGCTGTTATAGTTCATATGTATCTTTATGAAAATTACTCCTTGTGTTAGGTTATGGGATAAAAGGCTCATCTCCACAGGACCCTGGCCCACCTTTCTCTTGTAGCCTCCCTTGGTGCGCAAGAGAGAAGCGGGGCAGCAACTGATGCTCAAAATCCCCTGGATTTTGGAAAGGAACTGCCAGCGCTCCCATTTTGTCTGCCGGTGCTTCCTCAAATGGCCAGCAAACTAAAAAAAAACATGACTCTATTTCTGAGCTAGGCTGGATAAACTTCAGTTTGTACCATAGTTGATATAAGCAGCAGATTACTAATGCTTCATAACAATCTGATTGATGTCCTAGTCAATTAGAAGCTGGATCTCATAACATCAAAGGCAATAGTCTCCTAAGCATTGAATTTAATCTTTCATAGCTAGTGATCATCTAACTTTAATTAGCTGCAACTACATGCTATAAATTAGACGATGAGTATTTCATAGTGATGCTTCTCTATAGATAATTGAGAGTCTATATACTGCATAAAACTGCTGATAATATGTCCTTGTTTTCTCTGTTGAGAGAAAAACTTAGAAATGGAGAGGCAGGCTGCTTTTAATATGGAGTACAAAGTACCGTTGTTTAAAGGGCAGAGCTGTCATTCTTGGGGAAAAGGTGATATATATTGCCAGATCAATATAGCAATGATTACATCTGTTGCGTGAAAAGCAGTTGGAATCAGCCACGCTACGTCTGCTCAGAAATTCTTAAATTAGTTCAGCACAGCGCAATGGAAAGCCTCAGGACCACACGAGATTTCAAACAGTGAAGTCTGAAAGGGGTTTTATAGCTCCTCATTGGTCAGGCACGTGCCGTAAGACTTTGTGTTTCCCTTCTGGGTGCCCTT